GGCAAGCAAGCAAGCAAACCCGGTTCTCACAAATATACACTCCAAGCTGAAGATGGAAGATTGATACCTAGGTATCTCTCGTACTCAGAGTCACTATATAGTGCTTTAGTACCTGGTACCTGGTACTTAGTACCCAGTACCCATCAAACTCGAAATGATTAGGAAGCTCAAAGTGATTGCTCATCTCGCCTCACCTCCCATTCCCTCACTTTCCCCATATCCATATCCATATCCATATCCATATCCATATCCATGTAATAATTCTCACTCCTCCTAACCAACAGATCTCCTCTCCACTAACTCGATCTATATCCTATATTTCCCAAAAATCTATATTGCATATCCACATCAGAAGATTGAATCCGAGGAATTTTCTAACGTGTCTTCGTACCCGAGCCTGAGCTCGAAGCCTGATATACGAAATAGCTTATGAGATACAGGTTATGATCTTACTATATATAGCATATGGGTAATCTATAAACACTTGTCAGAATCTCTATCAATATACCCTTCTCATTATCACATTTTGTGGTATGCTCACAAGGTATCCTCCTCCTTTGCTTACTAGTATGTATATCACACCATCCATTCTACGTCAAGTCCTTTCATCATATCACACCTGGAAGAATTTTCGCTTTCCTATGTTCTGTGTTTCATCTCGCATCCACAACTAGGGCGACTGGAAATATTATATATTATACTGCTTAGATATACTGCACCTACGAATCCCAATATTCAGCCTTCCACACCGGGTCCTTGTAAACAAGCACATTTCATCGAGTAAAATTAACCCATCAAACACAAGTGAACGTGAAAACCACATATCATTTTTTCCACAAGATAACATAAATTTCCTCACTTCTAATTCCAGCCCAAATCCATCTTGCGCTTTTCCATTCCAGGCCACCTCTCCGTCATTTCTCCATGCTATCACATATCACATCATACAATCATCTACAATCCACAACCCCAGCGAGAAGAAGGCCACGCAGCATGCTTCTTAAATTGTCCCATTCCTTCACCTGTCCATATGACCACATAAAATGCTCCCAAAATATACTCACCAATATTATCCCAACTCCGGTCCGAATCTGACCACCCGGGCTTTTCCTCCCGAATCTTTTGACCACGCTATGACTACTTTCTGCCAAGAAGAGTAAAAATCCCCACCAGCCTCCAACCTAATCGCTATGCCATTGCTACGATTGAAAATAGAGAGTTGAATACGAAAATTCTCCCTGTGTGTATAAACCCATGAATAAGAAGAGCTCTAACCACTATATTGAAACCTGGTGGCCTCAAGTCGGCCCAACCCGTCCCTGGGAGCAACATAACGTCTTCGATAGGTATTTGTAAAGTCTTGCAATAAGCTGCGAACCTTTCGAACACCATCAGGGCCGATACTCAGCTTTTCTCGAATGCTGTTCATTAATCGGTCAATTTCTGCTTCCCTGACGGTTCCAGCTGGCAACATGCGTAGAATTCCATCAACCCAGCTGGCAGTTTCTTGTGGAAGTATCTCGAATAAGCCAAGAAGAACGCCACTGCCATCGGTAAAGCAGTCTCCTGGGAAACTAATCATCATGCCTTTCATGATTCCTTTCACTAACTCATTGCCGTTAGCGAGAATAAGCTGCCTAACCACTTGTTGAATCTCGGGTGGATTGATGTTGGAGGCTGAACTTGAAGGATTGTCACCACCGTAGCTGATGACATCTCGAATATAGTGTAGAACCGCAGATAGAGGCTCGCGTTGCTCGAGATCCAAAGCAGCGATGGCAGCCCTGAATATTGGCGTAAATAGATGCGATCGAATCATCTTGTGAGGGTAGTAGAGCAAAGCATCAAGTAGAAGACGGTAGAAATCCTCGATGACATCAGGGAGATCTTGAGGTGGGAGATCAGCCATGGCTTTCAACATCGCTGTCGACTGGGCTTCAAAGAAGGTGTAGATTGACTCTGTGGTTTGTTCATCGACGTGCTCTCGGTCCTCGGAAAACTCACGCAAGATAGCACTAGTAACCCAGAGGAAACAGCCTTGTCTTGACGCTGCAAAACCTTCTGCAAGTTTGTTGGCCATTTGGGGAAGGAGAGGAGCCATTGATGTTCGATACGATATAATCATGTATCTCCATGTACGACAAACCCGTTCACAAATTGGAGTAAAAGTCATGAATGAATCTAGAATAGTCGACAGAATTGGGAAGATCTCTTGGCAGTATTTTACAGCCGGATGATCATGATTTGACTCAATCCAAGGAGTAACAATCTGTATGAATAGTGTAATCAATTGCATGTGATCTAAACATTTGTCAGTGATTTTCCAGTCAGTTTGACGGGAGAAAGTAATTACCAGCTACTTTAAGCTTTGATTCTTCATCGTTGGCTTGATTTGCTAAGGCCATTAGTCTAGACATCAATGGATCGCAATAGAGCTTCATGAGCTGATATGTTTGTGATGGTGGTTGAACAGCAACGACAGATGCAACACCTTCTGTTAATTCTTCTTGACTAACTCCAGGTAACTTGTCAAGAGTCTGATCGTAGAATTGTTGCAGTTGTACTACTTGTCCACCAAGTAAATGTTTGCAATCGCTGCAAATGAATTTCATAGCCATGGCAGCTGCTCGAACAATCTCCTTGGAGTCTGTTGTGAATGACGATACAATGTATTGGAATTGGGACTCGAGGAATTCGGGGTGGTTCGAAGTCCACTCTGTATAACGACCTAATACCATGATAGTTGCAAATCGAAGTTTTTCGTGATGAGGAATCTGAACAAGGAGAGGTATGATTTGAGGGAGTATGATGTCTTCATCCCTATCAACTAATCGCCCCATCGCACGCATGCCAAAGAGAGGTGCTTCGAGCTGTTGCCAATGTGGCACAGAGGCTGCTGTTGCCTGACTAGCATAAGAGCCCATCCACGCCTTGATAGCGTCGTAAACTTTCGTGAGGCATGGTGTAACGCCCATAATCTCACAACAGTCTTTGAGAACGTCTCCCATATGGTGACGGAACTCCCGAAACTTTTCCTCTGCATCCCTATCGCCATCAAACAAGTCCGTTTCATCTGCGCCATCGGCTGTAGGGAATTCCAGATGCTTCATCATGATGTCAACGAGACTAGAGTATACATCCACATATTGCATACGAGCTTCGATGTACATCTCAAGGATGAGATAGAGTTTGAGTTCATACCAGAAGATGAAAGTAAGAGATATAGCATCCTTATCAAAATCTCTATGAGTACACTCTAAAATTGCCTCAACCAAAGGTCGGAAGGCCTTAGGCTCTCGAGCAATCAAGACAACCCATGCTTCACCAGCTTCGGCGAAAATGCGAGTAAAGCCTTTGAACGAATCAGAATCTTCTTCTTGGGCAGCTTGCGCAATGCGAGGCTGAAGTGCTAATACACGAGGTAAAAGTATCTCGATGGTAGGCATGTACTCATCAACTTCACGAGTCTCCTTAAATACAGCACAAAGACAATCTGTTGCTGCTTCGAAGGAACGGTCGTTGTTCAGGGCATTAAATATTACCGATAAAAGAGGCGAGTTAACTATGTCGGCGACAGGTACTTCGCGGAGCCAAGATGTGATGACTTCAAGTAATTGTGGATTTGTCGCAGCAGATTCTGTGTGGTGTTTATTAGCCTCCTGCAACTGTATCCAAAAGCAATTATTACGTACCAGACGATTGTGCATATGCAATCAGCAGTTGTACCACTTGGGCGGTGTTATCTCCCAATAATTCCTGAGTTCTCTGTTGAAGCTCATCTTCCTAATTGACGCATTAGACTCTGATATTCCCAATAACTTCTCGACCTTTCCACATCGTTTCACATGCTCCGGGAATGGTGTATTTCGGCCCACATACTGTCAAAGTGATCTTTCGTCCTTCGGTGACTTCTTCTGGAAGAACTTTCAAGAAATCTAGAACGCAGGCGAGACTTTCTGCGGAGTTCCCTAATGTTGATACTACCATCGGCACTACATCCTTCCAAGTTGTCATCTGTATAGCTAAAATGGCCAAGCAAACACATAGTTGGATTCGGATCGGTCGTGGCCCTGTCGCAAACACTTTCAACAGCTCTAAAAGCTGGTTTCTTAGAGCTGGTAAGGAATCGCTTGGTATTTGTTGAACGTCATATGTAATCTATAAGATTAGATTTCAATCTGAATAGGTGGGGTTTGTGATCATATATACCTTTCCTCTCAAAGTGGTAGCCGCAAAGAGCTTCGCATCTGGCTCAGCATTTGATGATAGGATGCCAATCGTCATCTGCCATGCCTCCGCCTACAAAAAAAGTGAGCCTGTGTCAACAACCAGATTGGCGCAATAGTATTGAGACTAGAAAACGCAACCTACCGACTTCTGGAAACTCTCTAAGAAACTATGCGCCGCCTCTTTCTGTCCCCGCTGACCATCGCGCATAGTATTTAAAGCCGCAATAACGGGAGTGAAGGCATCCTGCGGCCCACTCCCGTTCGTGGCAACAGCGACCATTTTGATGGAGGGGTAGGTCTTGCGAGACAATAACAAATTAACGGGGAGATGTATTCATGTACAGTTCGTAAATGTATCGGCAAAGAAATCACCAAATATAGAGAAATCTAGAAAAGAGGAATTAGGTGTATCAAGAATCTGTGATGAAATTTTTGTGGTTGTAGTATTCTGTAGGATTTCTTGGAAAGAATCAGAATGTTCTTTGGTTGTAGAAGTGATGTACTATGTAGGGTTGACTTGTTCTGCCCGTTAAAGTTGTTGGTTGCCGCAGCGAAATAAAGTTTTAGTGCCGTTTTGGCAGCCTTGTGGAAAGACAAGCTTAAGGTGCCCGTTGACCAACCGCGTCGAGAATTTTAAATATTTGATCAGGAGTTTAACGGATTCAAACCCAACTCTCTCACCACTCAAGCAATCTTTTGAATAACAGTCATAGTCTTTACAGACTGTGTCCTTACGAGTAATCACTTTAACAAAAATCAACAAAACTCATCATGAATCGAGGCGGTGGAGGTGGCCGAAAGGTCCTTCTTCCCCCAATCAACTTCATCTTCAAGCTGCTCCAACAGCATACGCCTGTGTCTATTTGGTTATACGAGCAATTGGGAATCAGAATTGAAGGAAAGATCAGAGTGCGCGCACAAATCCCCCCATCCTATGATGATACTTTTCTAATTGATGCGCTATTAGGGTTTCGACGAGTTCATGAACTTGGTGCTCGATGATGCAGTGGAGGTCAGGCAAGCTACAAAGGATAAAGAAGAGAGTCGCAGGGCACTGGGTGAGTTTTCAGATTATGTAAACTGTAAGGCACAGTGTACTAATACGATATAGGACAAATTCTCTTGAAGGGTGATAATGTTTCGTTAATCCAGAGCGCAAGTGGATAAGAGGTTATGGGAAGGCGTACATTCAGAAAGGGTTGTTATGAGAACAAAAAGTACTGTAAGACCTGGACCATGAGTTTTAGGGGAGTTCTTCGGTCATCTGGCTTTCTATCTAGTTGTTTACATCGAGGTGGATCTATTCTCTGGACACAAGACCATCTTTAATCTCACCATCTCCCAACAATAGTCCGTGGAGAAGACTATCATGCTCTCCTACTGGTACTGAGATTTCTGTTCCAGAATTCAAGAATTGCTCCTCAAGAGCCAAACCATAGAGCAATACATTTGTTCCTGGATTCGCTGAATCTGTCATTTGTGACCCTGACTGCTGCCTGTATCGATGCAAGAAGTAGTCATAGAAACCTTTGCCATGACCAAGGCGTCTTATGAAGTTGCTTTTAGGATCAATGTCAAAGGCCACCCCAGGCAACAGTATCATATCTAGACCACCTTTGCACGAAACAGTCTTCAATATACTTTCTCGTTCATCCACAGTCTCTGCAGGGATCGTGGGAATTCCCCAACTATCTCTTTTCAAGGCTTCAAAATCTGCAAGGCTACGAAGGTCCACCATATCCATCACGGAACGGGGTGTATCAGGTGACTGAGAAGTAGATTTATGAAGGTAAGGTACGAAGACCTGTTTGCCAGATTCCAAAGCGTGCCTTACAATTGCATCAGTTTGTAATTCCCCAGTCGGCATAGCAAGATATATCCCTATTCGTTTGGCCTGTTGATATGGTTTGAAATTGATGAGTCTGTGAAGAACAGCCGCACCTAATCAAATTAATGAGCTGGCAGTATATAAATGTGAAACTCATTTTCCAATATGAACCAGAATACTTACTTTGAGTATGTACGGACTCATTTGTAACTGTAGACAGAACCTTTTTAATCGAGAGACGGAGCTCCTTTTTGCTTGATTTCAATGCTGCTGATGAAGCCATTGTTGATACTGGTATGAAAACTGCTTTTTGGGCCAACCACCAATGGCTGAACAAACACAACCTTGAAAGTTTGGAATATAATATCAGAAAAGGGCACTAGACTTATCAAAGCTTATCAATTATAGCCTTATGATGATGAGAAAAAAAGACTTGAGCAATCACGTAGCTAGAATCCATATTTAAAATGTTGCTATTTTTAAGTATTTGCGGTGGAGGCTGCTTGCGGTGGCGCTAGATGTGGCTGAATGTTTATTAGCGATGTTACGAAGTCCATCCCTAAATGGAAGTTCATGCTCGTAACTCAAAAACTTATTCATCGACAACTACCATCCAGCAATATGGCACCACTCGTTCTGCCTTCAGTATTAATCGCGAGCGCATATTTACTGTCAACTGTGTCTGCGGAGCCAAATGTAGCTGAGCTCGTTGGAACATGGTCTACGAAGTCCGCCGCAGTGTTGACTGGTCCAGTACGATTTTATTCTTAAATCAGGATGGCTGAATCATGAAAATTGCGATTGGCACGCGCTGACATCAAGAACTAGGGCTTTTACAATCCAGTCAATGATACACTACTCGAACCTACTCATACTGGAATCTCATATTCTTTCACCGCAGATGGCTACTATGAAGAGGCATATTATCGAGCGATCTCAAATCGTATGTATTCCTTCACAACACTGGAGCGAAGACGATTATTGCACGAAGAAATATAGCTGATAATACCGTAGCTGCGAAACCGAGCTGTGTGTCATCGATAATGCAATGGCAACATGGCAAATTCGTCTTAAACTCGGATGGATCTCTTAGTCTGAATCCCTTTAGTGTGGATGGTCGTCAATTGGAATCTGCTCCATGTACTGCCAGTACTGCAATATACACACGATACAACCAGAGCGAGACACTCCAGGTTCGTGATTGCGCCCGTCTATTATATTGGTTATCGATATATTGGAATATAAACAAGGTCGTGTTGCTAACACTTTAACTTGTAGAAATACCAAGTCTACACGGATCCTTATACGAAATTAACTCGACTTGATCTTTACCAATTCGATGGAACACCTGTGAACCCGATGTTTTTAGCCTATAGTCCCGCTCTGATGCTTCCTACTGAAACCCTCAACCCTACAACTTCAGCAACGTCAACTTCGAGCTCTAAAATGAAGCGGTGGCTGGGATACGGGGACGAACCTGAAGAGCCCACAACTTCGGAAGGCTACCTTCTTCCTCTTAACAAGAACGCCAAGCATATCAGTCGCGGTATCGAGCAACCTTCGCTTATCAATCGCATCGATCTTGACCTCGTTTGGTGGGCTGGAGTCGGATTAACCATCTTTGGAGGCGCAGCATATCTGCTATGATCATTTTGAGGCTGCACGATAGACTGTATTGTTGGATGTTTGTAAATTTGAAGGATTGGGGTTAGGAGATGAGGCATATATACCAATGGTGTCTGCAAACCAAGCACGGTGGAGTTTTTTGAGGGGTACCTATTTCTGGGATATAAGAACTTTTGGGTGGGAGTGATCCATACTCAAGCAAGGCGTTGGAATTTTTCTATTGCGCGGGTTGTAATCTTTAGAAGTTTCTTTCCTCCCGATATTCATGCTAGAAATGTCAACTAAAGTTAAAAGAACCCCCCGAGTCTTGCATTATATATTTCTAGATCTTGATCGAGTTGACACAGGTTTTGGCAGATTTCTAATCATTTGAAGACTATATTGACTAACTTTCTTTTTGAACTTCGAAGAACGCTACCGAAACAACCTGCCACTACTATCTTTCGCACAAATTTATCTTGCGCCCTGCTTTTTATAATTTCATATTATAAGACCATTCAGCTCAGGAAGTGAAACAGCTTCCCCAGTCACCACCTGCAGTAGCAAAGCTCAAACTGTCCACAAACTTTGACAGTCCGCATCTGCCCAATTCATCACCACCACAAGTTTCTAATGGCAGCACGCGATCGTTGACAATTACTCTGACTAGTTCCTCGCTCTCTCCTACACAGGTCATCTTCTCAACATACATCCTCGCTGCAAATGGTACCGACCAACTCGCCGAATAGCCGTTCGTTTGCAACGCATCTTCTCTTGTAGTGTTTGATAATGCGCTTGTGGAATTATATAGACCCAGGGCTGAGAAAATCCCAGTCATGTCGTTGTCGTGACTGAAATCTGCATATAATCTGATGGACTTGTCAACGGGGAATGTGGCCGGATCGTCGTCTAAAGTATGGTTTGTGGAGGTATGGTCTTGGAGGGGGGAATTTGTAAGGCGGGCAATCAGCTCGTTGGTGAACCCTACACCTTGTGTTGGGCCCAATGGGTTGCCCCAAGAGTATCCGTAGTATTTACCAAGGGATTGGTAGTAGTCGTAGGCTTTCCAGTCGGCAGCCGTGAAGATCTTGCAAAATGGAGAAATGATTCCTGTAGGCGAGGCGACAGTATTGAAAGGGCAGAGATCCATGAAGTATATGGTATCAGCCATAGTAAGGTTGGCACCGGGGAGGTTTGCATTAAGACGCGAAGTGATGTTTGGAGTGAAGATTGATGCCCACTTGGCTTGAGCAGAGTCTCCGATGGTGGAATCAGGCCCATCCTCGAAAGCAGTACAGAGACCATGGTCGAGAGTGTTGTTGCTTCCTTTATCTTCACTGATGATAACAATGTTGAATGGGTAGCTAGTATTCGCCGTGGATGACGAATCTGCTAAACGAGCCGAATTAAACCCTTGCGTCCAGTTTTGAGCAGACTCAACAACACGGTCTTGACCCGAAGAACGAATAAAGGGAGTGATGGATGAAGCTAGAGATTTGTACCGATTGTAGTACTTGATCCCAGAGTTGATGAGTTCCTGTTGTCCAAAAACGCTAAGCTGATCGGCTCCTAGGGTATATTTATAGTCCTTAATGAACTTATAATCTGCTCCATAGGAAGTGGTAGTATTTTGAATCCTCTCAACAAGAGCCATGTATGTTGCTGTCTTGCCAGCTGTAGGATCTCGCGCTCCATGACGAGACAAGATTTGAGCAAATGATATTTCACATTGATCAGGGACTGCGGCACTAATCTCTGAGGGAACTGAAAAATATGGAGAATATTGACCCCAAAAATGTGAGATCTCTGGTTGACAATAGTATCCAGCATTGATAGTATCACATGATGAGTTGGTAGGTAGTCCAAAACCTCTATATCAATGATTAGCAGAAGATGAATGACAAGGGAAAACTTATAGATGAACTTACACTGCTGCCCAATAGACAAACCCTAAGACCACAACTGCTGCAATACCCATGTTGAGGACTTTTCTCCTTGATCCCTTCTTGAATCTTCTCAGATGCTGCTCAAGACTCTCGAGAATACCATCAGACTCTGTGCTAGTAACTGGATCTGGTTCTTCTCCCGACGAGGGCAAAGGCTCATATTTATACCTTTCTTGTGCCACCATAGCACGTCGTATTGCAGTGCGCTTTAATGAGCGCTTCATCTTTGCGGCTCTGTTCACCCGTCCGTTCTCCCGTCTGGACAAAATATAAAATCTAGAAGCTCGAATTGAAAGGTTTCATTGGCTAGAATGTCAATTGACGAGAAGGTCCAATGTTAGCATTCGCGGCCTTTCACCTGTACCTTGCAATTTATGAACTTTCAGCGCAAGTACGGAGGTTTTGTTTCTTCAGAGCTTCCTAATCCAAGATTCAAACTGAATCCGACTGGCAAGTATCATTGATGCGTTTCACCACGTGTGGTGATCCCCAAGGATGTTGTAGTTGACCTGCATTACCGAACAAGAACCGAACGGGTTCGAGCAATTATGCGACCACGTGATTCACCAAAAATGGGTGGACATCTGGAGCTGGGGTCAAAGTTGCACAGAAACTGGAGAAATGGGGTTTTAAATTGAGTGCACTCAGATGTGCAGAACGGGTTGTCATATCAATAGGCACCCAATTGACAAATTTCGAAATAATTCATAGGCAATCACCGGTTCAAAGCAAAAATTCCCGAGTAATCTTGTGAGATTTAGTATTTTATGGACAGTCCGGGAATTTTATGCACTTGATGGTACAGTCTATACTCCCCTAAACCGGGTATCTAATGTATCTACAAACGGCTGATAATCGCTCCAGCATACTCATGAGTCTTAGACTTTCCGCCCAAATCACCAGTCAAGGTCTTACCTTCTGCCAAAACATCGAAAATGGCAGTCTCTATTCTCTTTGCGTGGTCATTCAAACCCATGTGTCTCAACATCATGATGGAACTGAGGAGAAGAGCGGTAGGGTTGGCAAGAGCCTTGCCAGCAATATCTGGAGCAGATCCGTGGACAGCCTCGAAGATAGAGCATTCATCTCCAATGTTTCCGGAAGGAGTAAGACCAAGACCACCAATAAGACCAGCGCACATATCTGAGAGAATATCTCCGTAAAGGTTAGGCATAACCAAAACTTTGTCGTTGTATGGAGTTGGGTCGGTAACAATCTTCAGGCAAGTATTGTCAAGTAATTCAGAGTCAAACTCGACGGCTGGGAAATCCTTGGAAACTCTGTTTGCGGTGCTCAAGAAAAGACCATCACTCATCTTCATGATGGTGGCCTTGTGAACAGCTCGAACCTTCAACTTGTTGATATCTTCGGCGTATTGGAATGCGAATCGTAGAACACGCTCACTAGCTTCCCTTGTAATAAGCTTGATGCTTTGTACGACTCCGTCAACCACAACGTGCTCAATACCAGAGTATTCTCCCTCAGTGTTCTCACGGATGAGAACGGTGTCAACGTTATCGTAAGGTGTCTTGTATCCTGCGATTGAGCGACATGGTCGAACGTTGGCGAAAAGGTTGAAAGTTCGGCGAAGAGTAAGGTTCAAAGATACATGACCTTTGCCGATAGGGGTCTAATGTAGATTAGTACCAGGCGCGGGTGAAAGACTACTAGCTGGGATAGACATACTGCCAAAGGACCCTTCAAAGCGACCTTGTTTCTGTTGATACTCTCGATAGTCTCTGCGGGGATAGTGGTCTTTCCGTCCCTGAGTTGCGGGGTAACGTCAACTGGTTCCCACTTGATCGGTGCCTTTACTCCGTGTCAGAATTGACTCGAGATCCTTCAAATTTTCTCCTTACCTTGGCGGCTGTGAAGATATCCTTCACGGATTGGGAAATCTCTGGACCGATACCATCACCCTCAATCAAACTAACTGTGTAAAGTCCCTTATGAAATGTCAGTGTCCATATCCCGAGAAATTTCCATAGTATACAATTGTGTCCCTTCCATTCCGTTACAAAGTGGGCAGTATTGGAACCATTCTCTTCTGGTTGGGGAAATGCCTTACATCTGATCCCTTTTGGCCGTGGAATTGGGCAATCTTGGGTTTCTCGGTAGCATATGTGCGGCGGGCCTACAATCATACATGGTAAGCATGTGGTTCGAATCTTGAATACGCAATAGCTGCATAGGAGCTAGAACTAAACATATTCTTACCTGGACAGCGGTTGGTTTCCAAGCACGTGAAGATACTTGGATGCACTGTCTTCGCGCAGGAGCGCCAAAAGATCTAATTGCTAACATACTGTCTGCCAAATGAATTCTCGCCAAAAAATGCAAGAATGTATTGGAAGAGGAGGGGAAAAGAGAGTAAAAAGGTCCAAATGAGTTTAGGGAAAGAAGATTTGAAGTCGCGGCTAACTTGCGGAAAGTTGCTTTTTTCCTCAAGTAATGGGTTGCTGCTTGGATTCCGCCGTTCCCACTTTCAGCCGTTTTGGCCCGGAACCATTATCGGCAATTCCCGATTTACGATTCTGTACCTAATGAGTATTGATGCTCAAATTATTAATGATTGAATGATACACCTTCAAACAAACATTGGATTGAACGCCGTGAAGTAGAACCTCGACGAATTATAATATATTCCATAAATTCAAGTTCAATTCAATTCAAATTTGGAATCACAAAGTGGAATATGTAGCGTTGGAATTTAATTTATGAATCGATTCCTTTAAATATCTGTTGCGACAATCTCGAATTAAACACGATTCAATATGACGGACATGGAGCGGACCATTTTGGACCACTACCAGCTTTCATCTCCATATCCTATAGAATGGCCGGCGGATAAAGACACAAGTGATGCCTCAGATGAGGAGGACGAAGATCCCAAGTCGAACCAAAATGGTGCAATGGCTGCAGCTGTCGCGCGCAGAAAGTCCAAATACTTCGCCCTGGAAAGAGCCAGTGATCGCAAGAGTCTCATTCCTAATGCACAGAAGTCGGGCGATGGGGTCGAGAATTTGGTTCAAAGAGATGAGCAAGATCCTCTAGGAAGCACCGATAGTGTTGTTAGAGTTCTACGGCAGCAGGGTCTACCAGTACAAGACGACATAGCACTGCGTTTGTCTATCCTTCATTTCTTTTCTGCTTTCGCTGACGGTACTAGGTAACAGGTTCCTCTTGTCGTCTACAACATTCTCGCCCGCCTTATTCCTCTCCCAAGTTCATTCTACCGCCTCTACCCAAGATCTATTACGAGGTTTAGATCTACTCTCTAGATCGATTGACCAAAAGTCCGCCTCCCTTAAGGTCCTCGTCGAATCGAACTTCGAACGTTTCGTGCGTGCGAAAGCCACAATTGACAATGTATACACTGAAATGAAATATCGGGGGGCAGAACCACCCACAGCTTCTCGAGCTAGACCTCATTCCCGCCATGCCAGCAGAAGTAGCTTTCGAGCGAGTAGTGGTAATCAGATTGGGATGACGACTCCGGCACCTGTGGATGTCAGAAAAAAGAACGCTTTGATGAAAGAAAGCGAATATGGTGTCCTTGGAATAAAGACTCCTCTCTTAGACGTCTCCGCAAAGGCAGAAGAGGTGTGGGGACCGGCATTAGGGGGAAGAGAGAAGGAAGATAGCCTGAAAGTAATGGCTGCAACCGTTGATCGATACAAAGAATATTACGAGGTTAATGCTGCTATTACCGATAGTATCAAGCGTTAAAGACTATGAAAAGTATTGTCGAAGAATATACAAAAGCAAGACGGTTCGCGGATGACGCAAAGAAACTCACCGAAACGTTAGGAAATACACCGCCGACTGATCCTCAGATACACCAAATTCTTCTGGCTGCTCGCGTATGGCATGACGTCGAACAGCAGATTGAGGATTTTAAACGTGATGTATGGAAGAAGTTATCATTGGCACAAGGATCAGCTAGAACAGACGGTATATTTGGCGCTCAACAGGATCAACATATGGAACTTATTGGAATATTACTCGAATTAGGAGTAACAGATAATCCTATCTGGGTTTGGTTACTGAGTCGTTTTGATCACCTTAAGGTCAAAATACAGACAACTTCAGATCGTTCCAAGGTCGAGATTGAAATTCTGCGGCGACGACTAGCTAGTGCTGAAAAGCCTACACCTCAAGTTATTGCTACTCATTTACGGTCGCTTGGACGTCAAATAGTAGACAACAAACAAGTCTCAGTCGATTCTCCAGACATCATTGAGCTATGGGAAAAATTGAACTCGTTTCTCCATAGCATGTTTTCTGCGCAAGGAATTCTTGGCGAAGTGACAGAATTCTGGCAAACTGTTCAGAGTTTTATTGATGGCAGAGCACAGAAAGCTTTGCCAGTAGGTATAAATGGAAAGTCTCGAGAGCATCATCGACTCTCTGACAAGAACATTATTGAGTTGCAACAAGGAACAGTTGAGTTAGTAGATATGCTTCGGGAAAGCATATACGAGTTGTTTGTTGATCCTCCAATTGAGGATATCTCAGCATTGTTTTCGCCTTTACCACCCACCCCACGCACACCAAGAACGGCTGATTCGTTGACCCCGTCTGCCCTTCGAGGTTCTCGATTCACATTCGATCCAAACAATCTACCACCCCCATCCCCTAGACGAGGTGAAGCATGGGAAAAAATTTGCTTTTCTGGCCACCATGGTCAAATTCAGCCAGTGGAGTCCATTATTTGGCCAAATTCCTTGCGCTTGTAGGTTCCGGTGCAAGTGAAATGGCAGGAGTTTCACCTGTCATCAATGGAGATGGTTCAGCTCTGGAAAGATTAAAAGCTCTTGTTGGAGGTGCCCGTGAGAGATGCGTGACTGCAATACTTGCAGCATGGAATAAAGATGCCGAAAACATCAAAGTTTTGGAAGATTGGAGGCGTTCTCCAGATAAACGAGACTTAACCAGAATGCCAGCCAATTTCAGTGCTTTTGAAAGCGCGATTCTATCAGGCATGCAAAAAATTCTTTACATTTCCGATGCATCAATTAAGCAAGGCTCGGCTGAAATTGTTCTACCTCCGCCAGCCAAACTCTTGCAAATGGTTCGCAGTCAGTTCGTGACAACCCTCTATAAAGCATTGAGTGGGATGGTCGAGAACGCAGAAAGATCCGTCAAGAAAACCGAAGATGATTGGACCGCCGATACCGATGGTTTGGCGACTCCTGTGGCGATGATTGTTGCTACAAGCATGGGTGCTGGAACTGTCGATGCTAGCGATCGCGTAAGTCAAATAACCTATATCCTTTTCTGGAAAATGAATTAACTCTTGTAGAATGTTCGAATGCTTTTTTTTAACTTTAAGCAATCTCCAGGCACTGCGTGTTGATGTCGTTCCAAATCTTACAACGCAGTTCGAGAATGCTTTCTCGGTCAAACTTACAGAGGAAGCTAAGACAATAAGAGACGTCCTAGGGCAAATTGATGCTCGTCTTTTCCAATCGTATACAAAACCTTACTGTTGAGGACTCTCCGCGATATTGTGCGTCGTGGAGTTCTGGCACCAGATTGGGCACCAACCGAACAACCAAAAGAAGTTCGTCCTTATGTATACGAGGCTCTGCTTTGTCTCGTTATCGTCCATACCCAAGTATCTACTACTGCCTCTTCCCTCACCGGTCAAGTTCTGTCTTATCTCTTAGAGCAAGTATCCCTGGAGTTCTTAGAGGCCTTCAAACAACGTCAGCGATTTCCTCTCAACTCTCTTATGCAGGCTACTCTTGATATTGAATTTGTCGCACAGACTATGAATCAATATACAACAGAGCGAGCAACAGAAACATCAAGCCAGATCTATCAGGAATTGGATAAAGGAACAGATGGTGAAGCGAGAGCCAGGTTGCAAAAAATACTGCCGGGCATGAGAGTAGATTTGAAGAGGCTGAGGGAGGCGAGTAAGAGTGAGTTTGCTTGCTTCAAGAAGCCTAGGAGTGGAAATAAAGCGGATAGAACTGCCAGTTCTAGTGCGCAAAGTACTATTTAGACAGGAAGATCAATTAGAAAATAGCCTCTTCCAAGATTGCTCCATCGTGATAGCAACACATGGACCTCAATCGAAAACTTTGATTAGTTGCGAAGAAAATCCGCGGTTAATTTAAAATCCAAATTTCACAAAAATTAGAGAATCATTGTTATATTTGCGAAGTTTCTGGATATCTCAAAAGCATTGCAGAATCAATATGGATGCCCTTTTTTTTCTGATGGTCAGAAATTTGTAATATTTTGATTGTTTGGATACATCACAGAGTTTCTGTACCCATTTGCCAGTACGCATTTATGTATGTTAAATATCATAATAGACGTTGGATTGATTGACTAGGCCGTAAATTCATACCATTTAAAACAAATTGCATACCTTGCCCCGGCTCGATTAGAAATAATTAAAACCACCCCTCCTAAATCTGTTCCTTAGATTAGGAACTCTCTCTCACTCTGCCCGTTGACTTTTCAACATCCCCCGTACTCGGTCTGTCCAAAGATCTAAAAGCTTCTTTAACCACATCATCGCCCCTTTTCAAGATAATCGGAATCTTAATGACATCTTCATCATCATCGCTATCATCCGAGATTTCACTATCGGAATAACGTCGGCCCATACGTCTATCATTGCGACATGTTCTTCTCACTCGTCGGATTCTACTATCATAAGTAGTATCACTATCACTCCCTGAGCTACCTGAATCATCACGATCCCTCATACTCATATCTCTAGCTCTAGCTCTCCTATTGCCTCTCGGTCGTGGTCTGAAGCGATCAATAAAGACTGAAGGTCCTGCTACAGGCTGTGGCTGTGGAGGCGGTGGAGGAGGTCCAGGCATTGGTATTCCGACTGGTGGACCTGGGCGTGGAGGAAGACCGTTGTTAAAGCCTGGGCGTGGTGGTCCTCGCACAAGCAAATTGTAAACCTCAGAAGGTTTATACTCTCTCTTCAGAGATCTTCGAGCTATTAAATGCATCATCGTTGCCGTTTGGGCTGCTTGACCACGCATAGCGAGATCCACTTCTCCTATACTATTGTGAAGACTTAGTTCCACCCAGCACCATTCAAACCTGAAATCTCGTTCTTTTACTTGAAGATCTTCCAAGATCTGGGTCATGTGAATTGCTTGTTGATCTGTGAGACGGAGTTGAGAGTTGATGACGGAGCTTCCACGTTTATTGAAGGAATCCACGCGAGCGACTATATCGGGAAGTGTGTTATATTCGTGGGTTATGATTACCTTGAAACATGTGCGAAGCAGATGGCTCGTCAGGCTCGGCTTGTCGAAGAGCGTGTTACTCAGCGTATGTTGTGAGAGCAACCAATTAATTTCAGCATCGCTGTAGATGTGGGCTTGGCTTGAATTGAACTGTGGTCTAGGAGCGGAGGCGGGGGGCGGAGGTGGAGGTTTGAGGACTACTAAGGCCCCTGGGTGCTGTCATTGAAGGAGGCCTTATCGTTGGGAGCATAGCAGGAGGCGGAGGCGGATGCGAATATGAAATAACTCTAGGAGGAGGAGGGGGAGGACCCGATAGCACTCCAGGAGGTGGTGGACCTGGTTGAGAAACCCCTGGAGATGTAGGAGGCACAGGAAAGCGCTGTTAAAGAAGGTCCCCATAGTTCCACGAGGTATTGGACTGATATGTTTGCCATCATCCAGGTGCTCTCGAACAATGGCTAATATGATTCGGCCGTTTGAATGCTGTGGTAAGAGAGGAGTGACAGACTTATTGGCAATGAGACGCATCCACAAATTGTTTTTATTCTCTTGTAAAACCTTAAGCACCACTACCTCTCGACGCAATTTTGTCTGCCCACAAGGACATAGAGCGATACCAAGTGTGCTATGTTCAACTCTTGTCAAGTTGCTGAAAGTTTCAAGCCAGCTATTGTCATTCAATTGGCTCAGAATCGTACGCATGTGCGTAGTTTCCAAGCTGTGAAATGCTGAGTGGGGGATTGGCCTAACATCATAACCTTGAATGAGAAAAGCGTCGAGTACGCTTGAAGTACTTTCCAAGACTTTCTTCATCTCTGCAGCAAGAGACTCCTTGCTTCGAAAGAGGCTTCTGATCTTGAAGCTAAGGCGGTTGTGGGGAGAATTGAAGAGTTGGCCTTCTGGTGCTCGGGGCCTGTCATCATCAGTACTAGGAAATTTGCAGTCCTCAATTCTACGTAGAACTTACTCCGCGTTGTTGTTCACTACTTCCTCCTCCTCCTTCTTTGTTACTAAATCTGCCTTGTTGTCCTCGCCTTTCTCATCCGATAGTATTCGTGGAGATATTGGGGGATGTGTTAATGGCAATGCTTGCTTCAATGGCGGCGTAGTGGAACCTCTGTGGCTCTCGTATGAGGGGGGGTTGGTCTTAATCATATCAGTACACGTGCAAAGGTATCCCATAGGGGCTCATATACTGTGGGCTTTGGAGAAAGGGTTGAGTGTTGTGGAAAGAGATAGAGGAAGTGTCTAGAAACCCGGATGTGTCTCGGGGAATTTACTCACATTTAGATTAATAAATCTCGGGGAAGACGTAGAATTTGGAGTCGGCGGTCTTGGCATGAATGCCATGGCAGGGGGTGGAGGGGGTGGGGCAGCTCTTACAACCCTCAATGCGGGCTGAGGAAGACATCCGTCAACAGGTGGAAAGGGCGGAGGAGGCGGAGGGCAGTGTGTAGCGAAATTCGAGCGTGGGTTTCGTCCTGTTCCTAGAAATATCGAGCCAACATCGATATCAGTATCCGAACCACTCAGCGTATACGCAGAGCTACTGCTGGAACGAAAGTTTCGACGCCGACTTGGTGAAGATCTACAAACTAGATCGAAGGTGCGGTTGATACGTTCATGATAGAGCACGATCTTTTCGATATCGACTTTTCCAGAAGATCTGTATTTGGTAAGTATTTTGCTTCTCGATGGAATGTTTTAAACTCACAGATCTCCTAGAAGCGAGCCACCGGTAACAACTTGGTATACCAAGAGAAGATGCAATTGGATCTTTTTGAACCGCTCTAGGTAGGCATAGGTATCGTTGTCTACACGATACCACACTGCAGTCTCGAGGTCATTTAAGAACTTCTCCTCGTCGAGCTCCAACTGCGTTGGCACCACAGGCGCAATGATATTCTCTTTGGCTTTCTTCGCCATTTTTCCGTTCTTCTTTCGCTCCACTTTCTGAGCAGCTTTTGTAGCCGTAGGAGCAATCTTGCCCAAGACCTTTGCGCACTCTCCTACCAGCAAATTCACAAATTGAAGGCCATCGTCGCTGAAGACGTGATTCAGGGATTTACCCGCGTCTTCTCGTTTCAGAAGGCCAAGCACTTCGTTGAGCGTACCAATGGTAGAACTGAGAAGGCTAATATGTTCTTCAACAACACTAGGTATAAGGTGCTCATTCTCCGTAGAGAGCAGTCGATATCTATGAAAAACGAAAGAAAGCCGTCCAGCATAAGCTAAGATGCTGTCTAGGCCCACTACATCTTTCGCTGCAATATTTTCCATTCCTGCTGTATCTTTCCGCGCAGGAAATTAATGGTCTAGGTGAAATGAAGGGATTGAATGAGATCTTCGAATGGTAAAGGTTGAGTTGAAAGGGAATTAGAAACACCCAAGCAATCAGAATAGATGAATGCTGCCTTGTTTCCCCCGCTACAAAACTTATCGAAGTGAGGCTGACCGGCCGCAAATGCTTCATTGGAGGAATGGAAGAAAATGTTATGTCAAGCCACAATTCGACTCAAATGTGGTCATGCAGAGAATCTGCATCTGTTTTGATTGTAGGTAGAGTGTTTTGCGTTGCACGATTATCAATTCAAAACTCACCGACTGGACTCTGCGTAATCGGTAATGGTCATCTAAGAAGCCATCTGCGGATTAAGAGAATAATCATCTTGTCTGTAACATTTTTCGAACCATCTTATGGAAGTACAAACACAATACATCAATATTGTTCTTCTAGGATTGACCTCTTTCTGACTCGAGCATTTGGGGTCTAAATGTAAATTCTAGAAGAAAGGCTGAATGTTGGCTCTCACAGACGTCTAAATGGAGACTAATGACCATGGAAATATGCCGGCATCCGCAGACCGATCAGCTTACCAAAGTTTCCCTCACAAACGGGGCGATTCGTGTTACATTTCACCACATGGCGAAAAAATCGACCAATACGACATTGCAAACATGGCGTCATGGATGGATGGGTTGACACCGAGTTCATATTTCTCTACACCACTTAAGCATGACCCCAGTCAAACCCTCGATACTACCGGGAATTTCCTCCAATGCGATATCTACTTTCCACATACGACCTGCAATTCCACCCACTTGTGCCGCACCGATAGCTGCAGATATTAGTAAATCATAATCTACCAATCTTTCCCAAGCCCCCAAAGCGACATCCCTCCCCCATACTTTAGCACTACCTCCTAAAGCTGTAACTCCCGTGCTCGATGTCTGTATCTTGTACCTTGATGTCAAGGAGCTATACTCGTCGTAAGCCATTGCGAAATTGCAAGTATCTGTGTCTAGAATAATGTCAAGTCGTGCGGCAGCTATCAGCATAGCGAGTTCCAACTCGGATAAGCCCTGAAGGATGTGGAGTTTAGAGTCCGGGGCTGACAGTGCCATGTTAGCCATATTAAATGATTGGCCACGCAATGGGAAGTTCTGCATTGAAAGACTTGATATAGGAAGAATCGAGGAGGTGAAAAATGCAGGCACCGATTTAGAGCGGTAAAAATTTGATTGAATATGATGCTTGAAACTTTTGTCGTTATTGTATAGTTTCTGGCCGCAGTATAGTTTATATGAGTGTGATAGGGAACATAGGACCTTACCTCGATCATGTTTCTGCCAAAATGATAGGAAATCTTTTTGTCCAGGTGTCGAGATATCAAATCCCTCGTCATCGTAATCATCGCTGTCAACAATGAGGCCCTGTTTACATACTTCCCAAAATGCTGGAAGACTTCTGGGTAATGATAAATGAACATATCGGTGACTAAAACGACTTTTGACTCTCTTTTCTAGACTCTCGACTACATCCACACGGGTGGTTAGACCAAGTACAGCAATAGGCGCTTTCCTGGCCTGTGCTATGTCGAATAAATTATAGAGTAGAGTTTGTCGAGAATGTGTCGTGAATAGGTCAAATTCGTCTAGTACAAAGATAACAGATTTAGCAGCATGGTCTGTCTCGATTTCCGATATCTCCGATGGATGGGAGAGTAAAGCCAGAAGAGACGCCAAGGTATCGGCATAATTATTAATCTGTTTGAAATGTTAACGCAGGCATAATTCTGACCACAAAGATATTTACCTTGCCATTAGAGTCATCTTCAACTTCCATTTCCCTGCCCAACTGTCTCCATATCTCGCGCAACGCTAGCCGATCGTCAGTATGGATGAATCCATTAAGTCTAACCACATGGAATTTTTGTCTATGGTCTCTTCCAAGATCTGAAATTACGGTTTCAACCAGCTGCACATGAATTAGCTTAATGTCTAAGAACATCGGTATGGATCTTACGGTAGTCTTTCCAGAACCCCTTGCACCAATAATCAACATAGAGTTACCCTCGCCCGCCAAAACTGTTTGTTCGACGAGTTGATGTACCTTATGCATGTCGTCTTCATGGCCTTGGATTTTTAGACGTTTCTCTCCGGTAAGGCGATTCAGTAATGCTCTTTGCATTGTTTTCAGATGGGTTTCGAACCCCTCGATGCCGGAAATTTTCATTTGATATTGGAACCCAACTCTGTTTCCCCATCGAGTAAATCATGATCTACATCAGAAATGCAAGTTTTACAAAGCCATTCGCCCCGAGGTTTCTTGGGAATATTGCCGCAAGATTGGTGAACGGCATAATCACAATTCTCACATAGAATAATCTCGTTCGGTATCTCTGAATCCAATCCTTCGCAAACAGCACATGATATTTCGTCATCAGAGTCGCTCACACCATCATTCTCAGCAGCCCTCGCTTGCCTCTGCTGCTACTCTAGCCCTTTGGACACTTCTTACCAAAACCAATCTCTTCAGGTATCTTTGGCACACTGTAACATTTTTGATGCACAATGAGCGGGGCATCCATCGCAGAATATAATTTTGTTCGGAGCTACCGAATCAGGTTTTGTTGCAGATCTCGAAAAACAGCACCTTCATAATCCGTCATCATATAACCATCATCAATCGAATGCGACGTGATGGTACAGTTTTGCCATGTAGATTCTTGAGGTGTGCTCAGACTATTTTCTGATTAGTACACATGATGTTCATATCTGCAACATCGTCCGACGATAAGCAGTCTGCTTTACAAATGATTTTACCTACCGAAATATCTTTAAACCCCTCTAAATTATCCTTACCAGATTCATCGAATGCAACACTCTTCCTTATTGTTGAATTTCTAGACTTGCTAGGAGTTAGGATACCTTTTGGGATCGCGGCCGTTGAATCTGCCAAACCATCTATTATCCGCTTTGGTCGGCCACGTTTCGGTGTGCTGGATCCAGGTATTTCAGTGGTCTTTCCTCGAGCCTTTGAAACTACGTCTTTTGAATTAGAGAATCGCGTCGATTGACTCCTGGATGATGTTGTAGACTTCTCCGCAGGCTCTATATCTTCATTACTAGCTTCGATGTCCTTATTCTGCTGGTTCCTCGTAGATTCATTCTGAATAGCTTGTCGTGATAGTGCTTTCGCCTTCTGAAGATATTCTTTATTCTTAGGCGGTCGCCCACGACCACGTTTCACAGAGGGCACCACTTCCTTCGCTGTAGACTTTGCCGCCTTGGTGCCTCTCGCTACCGGTTTGGTATTCGCTTTCCCTGATGCATTTGTATTCTCTTCCTCGTCATCCGTAACCTTGAAGTCGTAGATATCCTCGCCCAATTCGTCTGCACTATCTTCAGCCTCCTTCTTAACGCTCAATCCAAGCAGTTTCTTGAACCGACCCGAGATACCACCAAGCCTGGAGGTAGGTACATCTATTTTTTGACGTTTCGCTGCAGATGTTTGCGATTTTGCAGGTAGAGGGGATAATTCGTCAGCTTCATCTGATATACGAGATCTAAGGCGTTTCCGTGTACTTGATGGTTCTGGTGGTGGCATAATCAAAGAAGGGCGACTTTTAGACTTTCTTCGTGTCTAGAAAATCACTCATGTCTTTGGCAGATTTGATGGAAACCAAATGGAGCGGTCGACAATTATAAAGGTTGCTTGGGAGACGCGTCGTGAATTAAAATAGCGCTAGCGGCCGCTGTACTACAGGGGCTTTCAAAGGTCGAATGTGTATTGAATATATCAAGCATCATTCCAATCATCTGTTGTCCTCAAAACATTGAATCATTCAAGGCTTCTTACACTCAATGTCTACTTTTGCTCCTATATGTTTCTAACATACTCTCTAATTTCTACGGTGCAAGTGCAACTATATCATTCCATGCAAAACCTTGAATGGGTCACCAAGTTGTGCGATTCTAAATTTCCACTTCACTGAGGGGATAGCATATAGCCAAGAGCAGGGTATCCAGTAGTTGGATTGACATATTGGGTGTGACTCTCAATATTCGAGATGAGTTCAAAGTCAAGATCATCTGAATGTTACAATTAAATTCAGGAGTTGAAAGGCTCAAGTTTGTCGGACAGCAGTCCTTGACGTTGGAAACCCTGACTCGATTGTAGCGTAACACTGTCCTTCAGTGTTGCATCATGGATTGGCAATTACTACCTTTGTTTGGAAATACGAAAAAGCATCTATATAGTATGGCCAATGATTTCCCGCTGTCTTGATGTCCTTAGGCAATTAACTGGTCATGAGCAGTGAGGCTGTGATCGAAGAAAATTACTGGTCGATAATCACTATCTAAAATACTGTCCATTCTATTATCTCTTTTCCTCTCGGTTGTTCCGATCAGAGACAACGTGAATAGAGAAAGATCTCCCAATCATTGCAACCTTATTTATTCTTCCACTCAAATTCCATGACAACGTTCTACATAGTGGCTACCTAGTACGCAAGGCTCAATGATAATCCCGCACTATACGGATACTATGTTGTAACTGTTGAATAATTTCATGCACTTAGATCACATGATTTGGATCTTTACAGCGATAGTCCTATTATTTAGGATGAAAAATTCTTAGATTAACTTCGTTATGAACGGCTGAAAGCCATCAAAAAATTCCCCAACCAGGCATACCAGATGTCCATTCTATCTTATCATTATGGTCCTCTCTCATATCCTTGTGCCATAAGACACTTCACTTCGCCTTCGACTGCCTCTATAAAATAAACAATTGCGCCGGAACAGTAGCCCTAGAATATTACCTAGGACGAGTAAGTGGGCAAGTCTTTCTCGTCTTCATTCACTTCCCTGACTGTAACATTGAACATGTCCTTCATTTTCGCCCCGAACTTGGTCCAAGTACACTTCCCAGGAATGCAATGACACACACATCCACAATCCATCACATCGTCTTCTCTTGTTTTGTCGCCCGCGTGGAACCCCAATGTCTTGTTCTCTTGATAAAGAAGCAGCTCAAGAATCGATAAATAGATGAAAGTGTCCAATTCCCCTTCAGCATTTTCAGAGGGTTCTTCTGACGTGACAACATTACACTTGTCATACATGTGAAATTTGCCAGAAACCCCGTTGAAACAATTCGGATCGAAAGCCATCATAGCGTACACTCGCAGCTCGCCCTTTTTCGTTAAAAAGTATTGCATTGTCGTTTTCTGGTATTTCCATATGTATTTTCCCGAAAGTTCCCGACCTTCGAGGTATTTTTCAGAAGCAGCATAATTGAAAGATAATCTCTGATGAGTTGAAAAACAAAAGTTTCTGCGCTTCAATCGGATTTGTTTTCCAGAAGCAAGACACATCAGGTATCCTCTGCCCCTCTTATTGACAGTGAGCCAGGAAGATTCAGAGGAAGGCGGTGGTAAAGGAGAGTCATCCCGTGTAGATGCAAGGTGAAGTCCAGAGGCAGGGGCTGCAAGATGCCAGCGTGCTTGTGACTGGGGATTGATGAAGCATTCTACCTTGAGGGCGCCGTGGTAATACGTCGACATCTCTATGATAAGGTGCTTGGAATTATGCTTGGGAAGTGCGAAGAGATGTTTGGGAATGTTCAAGTGTGATAGACCAGGAGCCGGGGGAAGAGCGTATCTTTGTTCACTACGTCCCACGCTAACTAAGCACTATTCGTCAAATATGACATCTATCACATACGTACTAACCAAGTGTGTCTGCATTGATCTCTTTAACTCTAAGAGGTTACGGCTTCTAACTCTGAACACAACTACAGAAGAAAAGTATAATTCAGGTCGATTTTCTCCGACCAGATCGATTGCACAAGGCTACTCTGATTTTTCGCAATCATTTCTTGTTGTTAGAGACATAAATGATTTATTCGGTTACACTCTTTCATGGTAGGGTTCTATTGCATTGCCGGATTTCCTTTTGCAATGCCGGTAGAGTAGAAGCCTGCTTCCTTTTTTTTCCTCTTCGGACGATCAATCCCTGAAAAAAGGCCATTCTCCTACGTCCAAGTCCGATATTCACTGCACTTTCGAGGCCGACTCCCGGTGAACAAGTTCATAGGATACTGGAATTTGCGCTAAATCTACCTACCGAATCGAACCGTTCATACTCAACGGGTTCAGTGGGTCCGACACTAAACTCTAGCTACTTAAGTAAACGGATCGATATCCGAAAGCTAGACTCAACATATTATCTCAACAACGCCAAAAGTAAAGCTGGATTCAACAACAGGTTTATACCACTTATCAGAGACACCCTATCAAAACGGCAACTCCTTATCTCCAGACAAGTTTGTTTGGGTTCAGATGAAACTTGAATGATGAGGGGTAAGCTTGGGAAAGCTAGATTTATATCTATCTCGACGATGCAAGCATTGGGTTCAGATCTTTGGCTAGGATTGAATACAAACCTTTGATTAGTTTGGCAGTATCTACCAAGCACAACAGGTATATGACTTCTTCAATTGCATGTGAAGATCGGCTTGGACGCTTTACGTACTCCATACCCGGGCGACATGAAAGCAGGGAATAATGAGGGAAACAATTGGTTAGAAAGTGTGCAGCCCAGGTGCTAGCATATACTTTAAAATAGAAATCCAGCCACATGAACTCAAAAAGTACGTATCGCACTAAGCCATTTTGAGATAAGGTTATTGTCCTATTTCCTATTCCCGCGTGAGAGATTCGACCATCCAATGATACTCACGAAACCTTATTCTCAAATAGGGATAGTGTGATACTAAGTCGTTGAGTTTATGCAGTGTTTGCTTTTTGGTTCTCAAATGGATTTTTCTTCTGATGACACGATCATCTAGGAAAATCTGCCCAGCCTCGAGGTCGAAGGTGCATGCCGGTAGTGTCGGGACTACAAGCTAGGCTAGCTCTAGTCTATGATTATCAATCGAGTCAACACGCACCAGCTTATGATAACTATTCATAGAGTTTCACGTGGTGAGCAACTTTGAATGCAGTGATGTTATTGACCGATAGTTCTCAGAAGATTATAGATTGTCGGAGCGATTGTTTGTCTCACCTGGGTACTTGGGGATGAAAGATAATGAAAAGGCTAACTTGTTACATTGATTCATCCCGAGTACCAATTCCCATCATTCCATCATTATCATATAACTCTATCGTACACGTACCATCTTTCATGAGCTCATTAAGCACCAGCATGCAAGATATATCCACCATCGACAGCCACGGTCTGACCGTTCAAATACTGATTGGTAGCCGCAAACAATATCGCGCCGGCCATGTCTTCATCCTTGCCAGGTCTTTTGGCAGGGACCTTCTCATACTTCTCCTTCTCAATGTGACTCTTCTGATCCTGTCCACTCTCACCACCAGTTGTCATCTCACTAGGAAATACACCTGGTGCAATGCTATTGACTCTGATCTTCAATCCATTGCCCGCGATCTCCGAAGATAACATCTTTGTCAAGTGGATAGCTGCAGCTTTGCTGGCGTTGTATCCGAAATGATGTTGTGAAGATTGGACGATACCGGAAATCGAGGAGATGTTAATAACAGTTCCGGAATATCCATATTGGTGATCCGAGGCCTTCTGGAGCAGAGGAAGGAAAGCTGTGGTCATGAAGAATAATTGAGGAACATTGGTACGGTAGGTGTTGCACCAATCATCGAATGTCGAACTCTCATCATCGAAAAGATTCTTCTTCATTTCCTCCGCAGTCTTGGCTTCCGTTTGCTGAGTAGCTCCTGAGATTCCGGCGTTGTTGATTAAGATGCAGAGACATTTCTCCTTGGATTCAATCTCCTTTACCACACGAGCAATCTCGTCTTTGCGGGTGACGTCTGCAACGATAGGGATAATTTCTCCCTCAATGTTTTGGCCATGGTGTTTGACAACATTCTCAAGCTTTTCTTCCGTCCGTCCCACAATATATACTTTAGCACCGTTCACAGCCAGTGCTTGAGTTGCCATCAAACCAATTCCTGATCCGCCACCTGTCACGAGGGCCACCTGCTTCGTGTGAGTCTCATATTCATTTGAATATAAAGAAGAGGGGAATTACCTTGCCCTTGACCATTGAACACATTGCTCAAAAGAAAGTTCTTGTTGGTGTCAGACATTTTGGTTGTAGAGGTTGAGAAGTGATTTGAAGGTTGTTGAAATTGAGGATTGGAAATTCTTTTCATGTGGTTTTGATATGGCGTTATGGAGGAAATGCTCCGGGATGGAATTCTGCAGACGCTTCGGTGGGATGAACTGGCAAATGTCATTGACGTCATTAATGAACAGTGTTTAGGACGACCGATACGTAATAATGCATTTTGTGACATGATTGTGGACTGTTTCTTCCAGAATGTGAGTGAAAGACGTAATGTGAAGATGTAAGAAATTATTGATGAATCGAATCAAAAGGAGAAAGAGATAGAAAAAGAGAAACTACTAACGAAAGCATCTCAAATGTATTTATTCACGCCGTCAAACTATAATCACAGATGCAGAAAGCAATAAAAACATGCAGATTCCCATAATAAAATGAATCGTCGATAACAATTCCCATCTTCTTGGTTTTGTGTGCCTAAAGTCGGTGATGTCAATACTAATGTGGAGTCTGGACCTGAAGATCTCTCCCCGCGTTTTAATCGATGACGTTTAGCGAATGGGGTATTGTCACATGATTGTCACGTTTTAACTCTTTCCATATCTTTTGTGTTGTAGCATCAGCGTCGGTTTATTTGTTAACTAGGCGTCATCCTCAGATTTAATGAGGAATAGGTACCTGTATATATGTATGTACCTGTGCAAATGAATCGAATGTCAAAACAGGATACTATCTGAGTAATCAGTTTGGTGGGGCGAATAACCTGTCAACGTTCGTAGGTTTTCTCGCAGACTAGTTCGTGTGCTGATAACCGCTTCAGAGTTCAAAAAGAAAGAGAAAATCACCGTCAATCTCAGTGGGCCGGATTCTAATTCATCCTTGGATGCGAACTCCGCGGTCTGAAGTCTGATAGTGCTAGACAAGAAGTATTGGATGGACTTCGGTCTATATCAAAGACTCCCCTTTTACAAGGTATGACAGGCGATGTTATTTGTATCTGCATCTCCTTGCGGTTCTATTTGTCAAGTTCATGACAAAACTATCTTTATAACAATATCGTGAAGATGCAACAACTTCCAAAAGTAATCTCTAAGGAGGTACTAGTCATTATCGAGTGTTACAAAAATCATATTTCGGTCATTTCAAATACCTGCGTACCTACCTAGGTATACAAAGTAACTTCGTCAAAAAGCTAAGATGAGAGTATTTATATGTATAGGAACTAATATTAATGAACATAAGTACGCACCTCAGCTTCTCTCCTCTGGTCTCTTTACCTGCGAAGGAGAGAAAAGAATAATTCCAACTCGGAAGGCTAGGCTGGTCAAGATGAATGAATATTTCTGGAGAATGGTATAAGTATTTTTGGAGCTCAATGGAGAAGTCTTGCAACTAGTGTTTTCCGTATTTCAGACACGCTCTACTCAGTAGCACGTATTGAATTTATTGAAAATGTCTCAATTACTCTTATACTCCCGAAACTATATTTGTTTTCCTTTTATGTCTTTTCGAATCTATAATAGAATCTACTCTTAGTCGCTAGAATCTAATCACTCTAGGCTAGACTCTACAGTGGAACGAGGTGTAGATTCTCTAGGTGTATTACTATTTTTCCTTTGAATTTTTCGAAACAGAAAAAAATTCGCGTTTAACTACTATAGGTTTGAAATCCACAATTTTGAGGTAGTTTCTACAGCATATTCTATATAGAATCTATCAGAGAATCTACTAAAGGGTATAAAAAGCATAAAAGCAAACTGTCTTTCAGTTTTAGGGTAGAATAATAAGTAAATGCCTTTTGGGAGACACAAGAGTAATTTACCGTTAAAAATAACCAAAGTACTAGAATTTGAACATATCAGCCTCAGACTTGTATCTTACTGAATAACTTGTCTCTGATATAGGCAATTTTCTTCGGAATGTATAAATCTAAGCTCAAAATATACAGATTCCGGGATTTCAGTATATTGTGTATATACGACTATAGACGAATGGTCTCAAGTCATTAGTCTACTATAGTGGAAAGAAGCGAGAGGGCTAGGCTTAGAGCAATCCTTTAGAAGGATTGTTATTGTTGTACATTGCTTAGCTCTCTAAACAAAATACAAGATTGTTATCTAGGACCTAGTGTGTAAGTCCTACGTCGTCTGTGTTCTACTGGAACAAAGAGTCAGTAAGTAATACTTCTTCTGTATGATATCTACAACCATGGATATTGTTGGTTTTGATATGTACTATAGCACGTGTAATAGGTCTAATATTAACCGCAGTATTGCTAGCGCATGCTAACTACAATACTGTTAGGGAGGACAACAAAGAAGTTCATACGGCGTTGAAAATGACTTGCCGACTACACCTGGTACCATCAGCTCCAAGTTTCATATGTAGTTCAGCAGATCACCAGGAAGAATCAGATGGTTAGAAATTGCTTGCAGATTAATAGATTGAGGCGGAAGAATTCGACATCTTAGAACAGCTTGTCAAGGCTGTAAAGAAATCAAAGCAACTGTCCATGACGTTTGTTGAAAGCAATTCGAAGGGTGACTGGAACTCTAGGAAAAATCACCTCTTGATGTTAGTGCAATTTGTCTTTCCTTGGTAGGCTAGATTTTACCATACTCTGGCTTTGGCGCCTACGCTGATGCTTTCTTCAAACCTCTGACACGCAGGATGGTTCAACTCTACGCTGGTTTGGAATACACTACTGAGATTCCAAAGCACAATATTAGAGCACTCTTGGGAAATTTATTAAGTTCCTAGTAGCTGGAGATGAGCGATCAAATCAAGCTTTAAAACCAAGCACCAATCAGAGAAATCCCCGGAAAGTACGGATCAAGAATTGACGAATTCACACGGGAACAACCCGGGAACGCATAAACAAGGCTGAGAAGGAGTTGCTTTCTGGAAAGAAAAATATGAAAATCGATAATGAAGGAATAGTTGCACATACCAGAGGAGTTTACAAGCGCGCAATGGAAGAACGAAAGCAGGTTTCAGGAAGATCTATTCAATTCGGTTCGCAAGAAAATTGCATTGATGGCAACGTGCTTAATAGTGTTATAGATTCTAGATCCGTGATGCAGATGATGACTGAGCTCTTGGGAAGTTTTGAGACTCATAGAAACCCAGGTATCTCCCTTCAAGAACTCAAGGGAGCGTGGTAAATATGCAGAACAGATTCTTATCTGAAGCAATCATTATGAAATGATTGTTGTAGAGATTGTACTAACATTGTATCTCAGTCCAAGGAAGCTACAAGAATCAATTCAATCAAGGCAATAATATTAACCCTCCTTTCATAGTGTAGTGTTCTGTCACCAAAACCCACCCCACCGCGTCAACAATGAATGAGGGCGTTCTCGCCGGAAGCGATGCTAGAACTGACATCTACAAGGAAGCTTACGTACAATCTCAAGACTCTGTCTATAAAGTATCCAACTCGGATACAAAGAAAGGAGGGGGAAATCAGCCCACTATCCATGGAAAGTTTTGTCAAAAAAATCGAGTTCAACCTGGATACAATGACGTTGACAAAGTTCTCATACATGGATGTCAGAAGACAGAGAAACACAAAGGTATCATTGACTAAGATTCCTCAATTCACTGTAAAATTATTGATATAACGACTACCCACCTGCTTCGTCATTCAGATCAACATTTAGCTGAAGCAACATGTATTTTACACTCTTCCTTGAAAAAATGATGTCATTCTAAACTCTATACGTTGGATCACTATCCTAGAAATCGTATGTTGCAATCGGATACAACTTTCAAAGCATTTCTTGTATTGTAGTCTTGTTCCTAGATATTTCGATTGGTGGACTTTTAATATCTGTGAACTCAACGACTTCGGGTGAGCGCATCAATCCATGTGAATATCAATTTGTAACCTTGATTTATGGTCGAGATGTAGCCACTCATATATCAAACAGATCCTGAGAATGAGAAACGTAAATTCAAACATTAAGTTCTCTTATATTTATCACACCATTTGCACAATACAAATTAGGCGATAGCCCACTCGAATTCTTGCGTCCTTCCAAGATAGGAAATCTTGACACCTCAACAACAAATATCGTGCTAGTGCAGACAATTTTATAAGCGTAGCAAATCAATCCTAACAACGACAAACACAAATGACAACTTAAAGATTGTCGCCAACATGCTCCTCTATCCCCCCCCAATGATCATTGGTACCATTTAAATGCCAAGATACTTCATTCACAACTCATTACCTTTCTCGGCACAGCTTGATAACACTACCAGTGATATTCTGCAGCCCGGATGATCATCGACCCAACGCACGAAGAGATTTTCCTTGCAAAAGGCAACCGCACATCACTGACTCACCGTGAGGACCATCAAGCCCTGTCTAGCTGATGATCATGCCCCGCAATACGGTAAAAGTTTCCGGGGTACCCCATAACCAGTATGTAATATTTCGAAATCCGACAACTCTACCACGCAATCCACTTGCGAATCGACATCATCCACTGGATTATCATGATACCATGGTCGCATGACCAAATGAACAACACACTCAAGCTGAGAAAAAAAATCCTTCACAACTCCTTGTATCATAACATTATGAATAATTCTTGGACTGTCGAAAATTCACGACAACCAACCATACAGGCAGGCACTCGAAGCGCTCTTGCCTCAAATATTCCAGGACGCGATTTACAGTGATTTTCCGACTTCGGTTGGATCACTCACGCGACGCCTTCAATCTTTGCCAACTGGGAAAAAGGAAAGAAAGCTGAAAGAGCTGAAAAATACCAATAGTTTGTTGGATGCAGTATGTAAACTTACTGAAAGATAATCCTTTCTACTCTCGTGATAGACGATCTTATTCACAGGAAGAGAAGATCCGAGCACATGGCCATCAACATGTCAAAGTTATTTCTCCCACCGCGTGAAACTGGCGGTAAGACTTCGGGATCGTGGAAGTTCGTCCCCAATTCATTCGTACTCGCACTCGCATTTCCGTTTGGGTCGCCAACCAACATCTACATTCCATCCTCTCCACCTCCTCCTCTCCTCGCTTCTCACCACTCATCCTCTCCTCTCCACAATCCCTCTCAAAACCACTCAAGGCCGAGTGACCGCGCAAATCCACAGCCTCCTCTCCTCCACGATTCCCCAGGCGCTGCCGGTGTAGCTTCGGGTATTTCATGGCATAACCTGAATCCCCATCCACCCATCCACCCATACGTAGATACCTTGGTTTCGCGGCTCGTTCCAACAGCCGACCAAATATCGAACAGGAACATCCGACCACCCAAATCACTGCCACTCTCAGCATAACTCCAAGCATTTCAAGCATAAATCAAGTGCCGAGTGAGTTGGAACAGCGGGGTGTGTTTCGGTGGCCCTGACATTAGTGTTGTTTTACGAGGTTTTATAATGTTTTAATTTTCTTTTTTCTTTCTTTCTTGGTAAAATTATATAGTAATACGTGTTGAATCTTCGAGAAGATGGAAAGGGAAGGTTACTTCGAAGGCTGGACGAATAAGACGGGTGAGCGGTTACGGTGTGTTGTTGTTACGGGATGGAAATGGAAATAGTATGTCCGGGTGAGAGAGTGGGAAATGCGTGATTTGACGTGATGAATGATAAAGGCCTATGTGGCGTATTTTCCCCTCGTCTAGCAGCTTGATTTTTCAGCTTCCTCCGCGCTTTCTGTTGACCTAACCGGCCTCTGTTTTTTTCTTTCTCAAAGCCCGTCCGTCCCCTGGAGAGTTTGGTTATAGAATCTTGAAATTATCACCACGCCCCTTCCTAAGTGGATGTCCTCCTCCGCTAAATACAAGATTGTGTAGGACTTGGGGCTTCGCAAGCCTTACTTAAGTCCTAAAAGGACCTTTTTACCCTAAAAGGTGGAGAGTTGACAATAGTAACGGATAGGTCAAGCGGAATTTCGGTCAGATTGTGGGGTTTGGCAACACTAGCCTCTAGGTAATAATTGTTGGAATTTTCGAAAATCTTGGAGGGGTACTCCGTATTGGCATGAAATTGGAATATAGTTGGTTCCCACTTGATGTGTGTTGGTGTTTTGTGCTTGGTTGAAGACTTACGAATTCTGTCTGTTGGTAAGCAGTATTATATCTGGGACTGTGACTAGTTGGGGATGGATCGATCATACGAGAGGAAGGAGATTGCAATGGCTAATTTGATATGGACAGAATGGGGGATGGAGGGGTAGGAGCGTGGAGGGAAGAGATAAGGGAAAAGTATTTGCATTACTATAATCTTCCGTAGATGGACTTGGGAAACGGTAAGTGCCATCGTATTTGAAAAGCCATATGTAGATACCAGGCTTAGAACCATATTCAATGTTCATAATTTCTCAGGAGATAGACCTAGACTAGCATTTAGCTCTGCGGGACACGACCTAGCCAAAGTCTCAAGCCCATATTCATGTAGTTGGAAATGCCGCGCCGTGATAGCTTAATGAATGGAACATAAAATAGAACTTCGAGAACGTAAAAGAAGTGCCCAGATCTTGCCACCTCCAATGTCTAGAGCACGTTTCTTGACATTAAATTGGCGTTGATAAGAACAAAAGTTAAAAAAAGAGAGCGAGCGTATATGCAAGATTCCGGGGAAAGTGATGTAATATTGACTAACTGGGATACTGAAACCTACAAACATAAAATAGAGTTTTCGAGATATGAAAGATGGCATGTAACATTGCCGATTACCAGAAATTGTACGTCTGGCAGTGATATCGAGGAGTCGTCACTCTTTTTAATCTGGAGGAGGAAGAAAAACTTTTCCGAATCCCCTAGCTTTACCCGATACTTTGGTATCTCCAAGCTGACACTTAGAGTTGGCATTTCATGGAGATTTGCATCGTTGGTCTATGAAAGAAAGCAGTAGTGCCTCTTGGGTCTGGGGTCCCCAATCAACTCAATATAAAAGAGTATCATTGGCAAAATGGGGTATAATAATCAGTTTCCTTACCTCCTACCCAAAACGGATAGTGGACTGAAAATTTGCACAAGAACAATAAAATATAATCCATCGACTCTTTCACATGTCTGATCCAACATTCCCACAACCAATATCCCAGATGTATGTGAATGCAGCGCAGCAACATGCATCGATGTTAAGGCCTAGCACACCACTAACAAAAAGCTTATCGCCCGCCCTGAAAAGGTATGGGGAATTTAATTTGCGGTTTTCGGACCAAATGGACACACTCATCCTCACGATAGCATCATTCTCCTCGCCGCTCGGAGCTGAAAGCGGTATCTAGCCCTTCATTCGGTTTTGCACGTCTGCGAATGGGGCGCATAATTCTACTGATTTGCGAACTGGCTTCTTCTCATCAGCGTTAAGAGTATCCGCCGCGGACATGAACCCATTCACACAGTAGCGACGGAGAAATTATCAGCATACCAACTCATTCGTCTCATCTAATTTCACAACGTCTACGGACGTAATAATCACCGTGTCTCTTTTCCCCATGAAAGTCAATAAACGTGCCCCACGATGAAAAAAAAGGCCGAAATGGATACTTGTGAGGGATACCTCGGGATCGAAACAGCCAACGAAAGATACGACAGACGAGTAATGTTTGGCGCAGAAGTGCTCAAAGTGCTCAAAGTGTACGAGGATAAAAGGACCGGGAGATTTCGGAATCCACTCAGTTAATGTGAAAGTATGGAGATATTTGAGGATCAAGATCCACAATAAAGCCGTCCATCAAATACATGGATGGTATCGCATCGTATGCTATGCTATGCGCTGGTGGGATGATTTTGGAATATCACGTGTCTTTAGATGTATGTCTTTGGATGAAAATTGAAATTAGATGTGAAAGTGCACGCACGTGTTTGAGGAAGATTGACCAAAGGAAGTTCATAGAATCGGAATTAGTTGCGGCAATTGAGAAAGTTGGTTGAGCATCGGAATTAGTGGAAATGTGCGTGAACCGAAACCCCTAGACGATAATTAATTTTAGATGAGGCTGGATGTCTAGACTACATATCTATTGATCCAATAGATTGAACTATTTGAAGTATTGACTGTATTCTGTGGTGCAATCGATATATTTGAGCACAACTTTCATGCATTGATCTGCCAGGCTTTCTTTGCATCTAGATCTGGTCATGGTCCCATAGTCATAACCATGTCATCATCTTGAAAGCATCTACCGTAAATCCTGATTTCCCATCCCAATATGGACCTGAATCTTGTCTTGATGATCAATAACCCATCTGACATTCGGAACATGGCCTCCGTATCACCACGCACGGTGATATCTCAAACTGCGTTCCTACTTCCATCTCTCCTGTGATCTATCCCCTTCCATCTTCACCTTGATGGCCCAAAATACGGCACAAGGCCTGATTAGGGGTCGTGCCTGAGTACGAATTACCCTTTTGGAATTATCCGACAATGCGGGTGTTCGTTCTTCCCTCCACAAATTAGTCCTGGGGTATGATCGGCCCCGCATTCATCAAAGTTGTGCTTCTTTCTTTTTCCGGCTAGGATTCCTTCAAAGCGCTATTTGAGACCAATATCGTGCAATTTGTGTATCTCTCATTCACTCGAAATCCAATAAATCTCTGATTAATACAA